GAGCGATGCCGGAAATTTGTGGTCAATACCCGAAGGACCAAGACCGAACAAATTGAATTATAGTTGGGAAGAATATAGAGTTTACGGGGTTTTTTTTCAGTTTAAAAAAAGTAGCCTGAATTCTAATGACTTATCAAATATTCTGTAGGCATGAAATCACTCTCTAATATATGTGCCACACACTATCGCCCGCTATCATTGCACATTCACAGATATTTGGAACAAATGTCAAATATCAAGCGTGGTGATAAAATCGTCGTGATAGTCAGTGATAGCTCGAGGTCGTCGGTGCAATGTGTGCAATGTTTTTTGCATGAAGTAGAAGAAGAAGAGGAGTGGACGGCTGAAAACGAAGAGATGATGGACCACACGCAAGGAGTGGAATTAAGCATTCGAGACCGGTTCATACGCACGCACGCACTCACTTCACTCACATGCACACAATGTGCATACAAGAAAAATCTATTCAATGAGATGAGTTTATCACGACGACTTATCTATGCAGTCTATGCAGTATGTGGTGAGCAATTGTGGGCCATTTATGGGCTGTTGTTGTATGCAGGTGGCAGCGAACGGGCCCTTAGCATAGAAGCGAATCCTTTAGCAAATAGGATAGGGTCTCTTTAAGCAGTCGCGACGCTCAGTGTCTCCTCGTGACGGGTTTCGATGCCAAGCAAAAATAGCAATTCGACAAGAGTCAACGCATTAAATATCGTCTGAAAAGATGGCTATCGCTCAAGAATAGTGAGGAAAGGTGAGTGATAAGGGGATGCAACCAAGAAACGTTCTACGCGCTTTCGAAACAATATTAATTAGTTGTTGCAGAGGAAAAAGAATATATATAGAAGCAGAAAAAAACACGTCATTAAAACCGGTATGGAATACCATTAACTATGGTGAATTGGTTGTTCGCTTAGCTTTTTTTGTTATAGATACGAGAAAATAGCACGTTTTGTTGTTGGACGGATAGAAGCCTGCGGTTTGACTCTATATGAAGGGGTAAAATGGAGATATACAATTTCTGCGAACAAATGATTCCAAGGGCTTTTCAATATTTAAGTGCAAAGAATATTCCTCTTTCTCATTTT